TAACATAGTCAATAAAATAACTGATATATAACGTAAAATAAAAGAGAAATTTTGAGAAAATAATACAAAATACTCGTGTAATACGTTTGAGAATGTCTCAGAAACCCCCGCATGCAGTAATTCACCGTCTGTATAGTGTAGCTTCATCGATTAATTATACTTGCCATTATACAGTATCGTATGTCGCGATCGTATATATAGAGAGAGAAACGTCTACAAATGGTGCGCAAAGCAGCGGATAATTTCGTGTTGGGTAAATTCGCTAGAACAGACGACGTTTTATCTTTAAACTGGTTATCGGGAAAGAATATATCGGGAAAGGATAACTAGATTACCAAGATAAATAGATTACCAAGGAGAACTAGTTCTCTAAGGAGAGCTAGATTTATATCATTTTAAAGATGTTAGAGGCGAAATCTGCACTGTTCACAAAAGTGTTCAGCCGCTCCCTGAATGGTTTGAAGTATATATTTACTTTATGAGCTTTCGACTGCCCGTCTGCATTCTTCAACGGCTAGTTACATTGTATACTACCCGTTGAACACTGCAGACTGGCAGTCGAAAGGTCGTAAATAAATAAATATTTCAAACCAGAGAGCGTGAACACTATTGATAATATATTTATTGAAGCGAAACTTTCATACAACCTTCGTGGAACTATATATATTCTGTACATATTTGCGAATAATTAGCGCGATAACATAGTCAATAAAATAACTGATATATAACGTAAAATAAAAGAGAAATTTTGAGAAAATAATACAAAATACTCGTGTAATACGTTTGAGAATGTCTCAGAAACCCCCGCATGCAGTAATTCACCGTCTGTATAGTGTAGCTTCATCGATTAATTATACTTGCCATTATACAGTATCGTATGTCGCGATCGTATATATAGAGAGAGAAACGTCTACAAATGGTGCGCAAAGCAGCGGATAATTTCGTGTTGGGTAAATTCGCTAGAACAGACGACGTTTTATCTTTAAACTGGTTATCGGGAAAGAAACAACGTGAATGAAGCATTCTGAAAATTTGTTATAAAGCGCTTCATGATGCAAACTGACCAAATTATCTAAAACTGCAATTGGTGGAACATTCTCGAGTTCTTAGATAGACCAGTAGCTCTCAAATTCAAGTTCCTCTAATTAAGAACTCATTCATTACAGGCTACAGGACCAGTCATAGCACATCGTTTTTAACGATTTACCTGTTTAATTAGGAACTGTAGTGAGACTACCGAGTATTTTGTAAAGAGGCCAATAATTCCTTAGTCTTGAAAGCATGGTAAAATTTTGTCTGTCGAACACGCTAACACTTAACAGTTATATTGCAGTAGTAATTGTGCAGGTATATAGTTTGTAAAATTTGTATATAATTTAATTGTATTGCATGTATATTTTGGTAAGCGAAGAGCCACTCAGTGGATGTATTGCTAATAAATCATTGTTTTATTATAATTATACTATTACGATTATTATTTATTATGTAAAGTATAGTGCTTTAAATAGTACTTCGAGCACTGATAAAACTGATAATCTCATTTTATGATAATTTCACATGTGAAATTTATCGCTATTCAATTATCGCTTTTCTGTAAAAATTATCGCTTTTCAAAGACTGTCCTTGATATAATAAACAGAAAAATACATGGGTGCTTGGAAATACCAGATTTATTTCTCGTCTTGCACCCATGTAGCCTATTATTCTCTATATATTATTCGGATGATTAACCTGATGTAAATTATTTCAAATTAAATATCTTGACTTTGAACGACCGAACATTATACCACATTTGCTGCAGATCTGTTCTAGCTTTAATGGCAGCTTTCACTTGAACCCAACTCACTCTATATATAGCATCTTTCCGTATATATTGCATACCCTCGTCACAAAACATCTTAAAAGCCGGCTATGACAACTGTATAGTAACTGAATAAAATCGTGAATGTAGAAAGCAGCAGTATATTTACTTATGTCCATCAGATCAACTTCAATTGCTAGTAGGCTACTTGAGTCGATGAAGAGTATTACAACTTGAGATTCTTAAAGTCCGTGCAAAAATTTACTTCATTTCCGCGGCCAAAGTCAACGTTATTCGATACTGACGACACAGGATAATTGCCAATTTTGCCGGGTAAAAACAATGTTGCCATGCACTTTAACGTTCAAGGGGCGTTCAGAGAAGATTGTACACCAGTCGTAAAGTACATAACATGAATTGATCAAAAGATGATTTTGGACAATGTGTTGTTGATAAGGAATAAAAGTTGTAGGATCAAATCGGACCAAACCAAATTACAACAATCCTACAACGTTGCGATTACGTTGTGTGCTAGTACTAGATTACCAAGGGCTATTCGATTGCCAAGGATGATATAGAGCGATATAAAAGTCGTATATAAAATGAGTTATATATTGGTCGACAAAATATGAGAATTTATGAAGTGGCATTTCCGTTGTTGAGCAAAATTTCGATAAAATATTTAGAAAAGCCTACTCAAGTTCATACCCAACCCTTAAGAATACCGTAGTCGAATTTGTTTTCGTCTGACAATGCAATTACATAACGTTTAGGCTTAAAGTTGAAAAATTGCAAAATCAGAGATGCGGAATCAGGAATCCTCTGAGTACTTTCACTGTTTGCCCCTCTTTATATCCCAAAATATGAAATGAATGATTAATTTGAAACAACTTTACTCACTTGGGATCTAAGATATTTGCGTCGATTTTTTATGTCTTCTGCACAGAAGCGTATATCCAACAACATTGACAAACGAATTTTCGCAGAACCTTTCCAAATGAAACGGCAAAATTTTGATACATATTTTTTTTATGTTAATTACACATGGCAACCTCGTCCCCAGGGTCTTCTTCGTGATGGCGCGCGAAAAGAGAGAAGACCCTGGTAAAGGCTGTTCTAAACTCCCTTTTGATTGGTTTATACATTTGACCTTGACATGCATGTGCTTTGAGGATTTTGTTACAATAAATATGATTGGTTTACCGCTAAATACTTCTTGTAATGAATGAACCCTACGATTGCATCCGGTTGCATGATTTCTTAATAAGGATTTTCATAATCAATAATTTGTTTACAGTAAAATGCATGCTTCGCTAAGTTCGCCAAGGTGCGAAGCTTGTTTCTGGCCAATATTTTCCAACATTCAGCCTAATATCAGGCACAGTATATAATGGATAGCGTGGTGTGAATAAATATAGACGCCATTTTGGTACTTCAAAGTTGAGGCAGCTAATGTTCACATCATCATCGAAGGTTTATGTATATATATATATACACATATACTGTATGAGCAAACAAACCACTTGCGTTTCTGACGTTTCGCTCGTCTCAAAGACTGTAGGTCCATATACACACCGGACGCGATTTGACAACGCGACTTGATTTTTCGATTTTCACTGAACGACAACTTTGATCCTAGTTTAAATTTTCCAAATATTTAGAAGCGTTAGAACATTTTGAGTTATTTGGTCTACATATGTTTTAAAATTTGCTCTCATTGGCTGTTTTATTAACTTTCAAAAACTAAAAAACGCGTCGCGTTGTCGAATCGCGTCCGGTGTATGTGGGCCCTATTACTTGTTTATTTAACACGAGAAACTTTATGCCACAGCTGGAGCACAGCTATTTGAATTTCCACAAGAATGGACGTCATTGACTTTCACAAATGAACATTTAAAATATATTCAACACAACACATTTAAAATGTATCAATATAACTTTAAAATTATTTTCAATTAAATCTAGCATTGGTGTTGGTTTCCATATGAAGCCTGGTTTCCATATAACGCCAACCATGCATCCACCGGTGGCCAGACATTTTGCCGAAAGACATTTTGCCGAAAGACATTTTGCCGAAAGACACTTCGTCTTTGCCGAAAGGGCATTTTGCCGACGGACGTTTTGTGGAATGGACTTTTCGCCGAAAAGACTGACATTTTGCCAAACGGACAATTTGGCGAAAATAGAGATATTTTCTGAACTTTAACCTTTAAAGGCTCGCATACACCATCAAAGTTTCTGTGATTAAAGTCTTTGATAAAAGTCATTGTTGACTTTGATAGTGAACATGTTTCGTTTTATATTTACTGATTTACAGCTGAGAATAACATGATTCATGAAAGTTTATTATGTATATATTTTATAAAAAGCGTATATATCATCGTACATATTTTATAAAAATAGGTACGCACTGCGTACATGTGGCTAGCCTATTCAGCCTCTTTAATACAGCCGGAGTTCACATTCATAATAAACATTCATTGTGATCCAAAATTAATAATTACAATATAATATAATGGTTAAAATAAAACAGATCAGCAGTATCTTTCTTGTAGTGCCAACAAATGGCTATAACAATCACTCGATTTAAAAGCAATGGTTGATAGCAATGGTGCAGCCAACAATATTATTGAGTCACACTTTAATTATTAAATGTTTTGTTTTAATAATAAGCATATACAGCAACTAATGATGTCAATTTATTGCTTTTCAAAATTTCATTCTACAAAAATATAGGGCCATATATATTGTAAGAGGTATTGTTAATGCATGTCTAAACAATCTTGTAATTCATTAATATTTCATTGCATGGGTTCCTTGTTACAAGTATATTCTGGTATTAAAGTGCTGTTATTAAAATGCTGGGAAAAAATGTTGAAACTTGTCGATATTATCTCAGCACATTGGCTGTGGGTTTGCTTTTTCATATACCTAACCCTCACAACTGCAAGGTTCAGTGTTGTATGGTGATTGCACTGATCTTCAGGGGCTTACGAAGTATCTGAAGTTGGGAGGAATTCAGATGATTTTACCTGAAATTTGAATTTCTATGTTAAAAATTTACTTGATGTGTAATAATTATAACAGTGCTCTTTCTGATTGATCTCCTCTGTCATACTAAGTTCCAAAGAAAAATATGTGGGGTGTGGGACCCCCCAATTTTTTTTACATTTTTGAAGCTCCAGGGCTGCATTTCTGGCATTTTCTGAAGCAAATTTGCAAACAAATAACATTTTAACTAACAATAAACAAAATACATTTCCACTCGATTATTTCCATGTACAAGATCCTTCAACTGTACGTAAACAGATTGAGCTTCCATTGCACTGTGTGTGAAATTGTGGTGGGACACAATCCCTTGAACAATAGATCTCAACAATAGCACCCATATTTGCAGTCAGAGCGATGTCAGTGACAACAATTGTAATATAAAATAGTCCAGCCTGTTTTCGGTGTTTAATAAATGACAATTCCCATTATAGACTGATTTTTTATTCTGGCAAAAAAGTATATTCCCGGAAAGAGCATACCAAAATGATTAAAATGATGCAAAGTTTGGTTGCGAAATGTTGCAAAATGCGGAAAATATAGCCTTGCAAAGTTCGCAAATTTTGTATACTTTGTACTGCGTGCGGAAATTGGAATGCAAAAGTATACAAAATTTGCAAGGCTATATTTTCCGCATTTTACAACATTTCGCAACCAAACTTTGCAATTTTACTCATTTTAGTATGCTCTTTCTAGCTGTGGTGATTTGTTTGCATCTCCTTGCCTAGTGTTAAAATTAGTCTATAATGGGAATTGTCTATTGTAACTGTTTTATACCTGCAAGGTGATATAGAGCAATGGGCTTGCTTCTTCAAATAAATACCCGCACAATGGTATATTAAAATTCAAGATCTGTGCAAGCAGGTTTGATTACAAACAGGATCATGAAGTATAATAAAGCTTTATATGAAGCGTGCGGATCAAAATCTCTTAGACCAGAGGCAGAGTCAAGCTACAGTTGTCCAGAGCAGACATGAATAGCAATGTTTTTATTTATGACATATTCGCAAATTATAAACACAAATATATCGATTGAAATAACTTACCGTTTGCTTTAAATTAAGTGAAAAATTCTTTCGAGTATTTCTGCCAGCGTTGCCAACTGCGATTTTGTAAAAATCGCGGACATAAATATTGCTTTTAAAATAGTCATGGCAAAACGACAGTTTCCGAAGTGAAGTCGACAATTTCCGTCACAACTCTTACACAGTTTTTTAGCGTTACATAATGGCTAGCCCGCGAACGGGCTAGCCACAAAAAGCATGCTTATAACTGGCACGATATGGATGATCAGGTGGATGCGAATGCTCTGATGGTTGCTGCCCGATAAAGTTTCCACTAGAGTTGCATGAGAGTCTGCCAGAGCAGTTCTGCAATTTGCAAATTTGCGATTTCCCCGAGAACTGCAAATGTGTTCCATCATCCTCGAAATGAAATTTGCTTGCGCCGATGATTGCAGACGATGCGTAATGAATGTCTTTGGCTCATAAATTTCGCAACTCAACAGACAACACGTGTATCAATAAAGTCACTTTGTCGGATAATGTTTACACATAAATTTTCAATTTCTACGATTGATCAACTGAATTGACTCTATAATGATTAAAGCACTGGTTGTGAACGTTGACGTTCAACGATAATAAAGCTGAATCTAATTAATCTGCGAATGAAAAAGTCAATTGAAATTAACGCTCTTCAAGTGATATGAAATAGACTCCCGTTTCAAAGGTAATGCTA